CGACGTACCAGTCCCACTTCCAGGTTCAGGATCGACAAAAAGGGACAACATTGATCCAAATGCTTGGCAGTGCAGCTCGGTCTTTCCTAAGGGTTAGTATACGGAGATGCCCTTCTAAAGCAACTAAGATGGCCTGTTCGGGTCTAAAGATACACCTTTCTGGACTGCGATGGGTCCATGATGGTCTAATAAGTCATCGTCCCATTGCTCCCTATCAAATCGTCTATTGATACCGAGCAGAGCCGATGGCCTCCTTTCTGAGAGCTTGGAGATCGGATGAAGTTCTCAATAATCTGTTCGAACAGGCGTGGTCGATAAGCATCAATGGCCACTGAGTTGGCCCCTTCACTGCCAGCGGTGTGCTTCTTACCAGGGCCGGATCATTGTCCCAAAAAGTAGAGGCGGGATGTCCATCAACATCACTACCCCAAACCTCACCAAACTGGGGAGTGCTGGGTCCCCAATCCCCGGAACACTTTGGAGAGGCTGGCTCCCCGAACCACCCTGCTGCCAAGGCTCTTCTTCACGCGTGCCTCGTACATTGCCCACAGCACCTGAGCACTGGGCTACGTACGCCGCGCACTGGCGGCGCGTAGGGCTCAGGAGTGAATGAGAACATTTGCTAGGACTCCTGGCCCATATCTTCAGGTTCGGTGGTTAGACCCCCCTGGCACCCACCCCAACCACCTTCAAAGAGGGAGGTTGTTACGAGGTGGTGTTTTTTCCAACATTGCTACTTTGAGAGTCCGTACTGTATCAACAAAAAAAAGGCAACAATCCCAAACACCACCCATGGCACTCGCATATGCACATAATTTGCCTATACCATTGAGGTGCTTGACCCAGGGTCAATGAGGCGGCATCTCTTCGAGTATGCGTCTGGGTCGCGCCTTTCCAGGACACTGCCCAGCTTTGTAGAGTGTGCATTGACCTTCCACCCCAAGGCCCTATGCCATCACCTGAAGAGTGTGAGCATCTCTCCCTCCTGCACTTCTTCAACTGCAAATCTCCAACTTAACCGCGCTATTTACACCACCTCCCCTGGATTCCCCACTCAAATGGCCATGTAGACGATTGACATTGACTCCAAACGTCCACCCCACCCGCCACTCTACTCCCAAACCACCTGCCCATCCGAACTCGCTCACCGGCACGTTGCGCATGCCGTTGATGGTCACCTGCTCCGCGATCTTCGGGTTCCGCGCCGTCTCCACGGACAGCGGAGCCGCCAAGTTCCAAACGGTGTGCACGAAGCCTAGCGCTGCCGGAGAGGTCGACCGGGAAGGTGGCCGGGAGCACCTGGGTCGGAAAAAAACAAATTATATACGAGCATAGACCCCAAACAGTTTTAAAACGAATCGTTTGGACCAAGGAAGAAGTCAAAAAAACGATTTCTTGGTACGCCCTACTTTTCCCCAAGAGCAAACTGCTTTATCAATGAGTTTTGTCGGCATCGACATCGCTATTTGTTCGGCCACACTCTTCTCCAGTAAGCCGGGCCACAGAGACCAGCCACAGAGTTCAGGGGCGCGGCCAAGACAAGGGCAAGAGGAGGACCAAGGCCCGGACACAGAGCCCAGCCACAGAGTTCAGGGGCGCAGCCAAGACAAGGACAAGAGGAGGACATGGCCGGACACAGAGCCGGGCCACAAAGCCCAGCCACACAGTTCAAAGCCGCGGACAGGGAGTGTGGCCAGCTCTTTTTCTAAGATAGAACCCCAACAGTAAACTGTTTGGGGAAAAACAGAACAGGTTGCCATGGAAGCGGACAATCGGCCATGAAAGCTTCCAAAGTGGAGGTGTTTACTTTAGTGCCTATGTAAGTGAGTGGATGTTCAGTTCTGGGCACCCCGACCCTCCATTGAGCACCCCTTCAGGCCATAAGACCATTTTCCTCTACAAACCGGTGTTTTGACCACTTCCATTCCATGTTGACGGTTTTCAGAGTCAATGGCACAATCACCACCTACAGGACCTACCGTTTGCAGAGTCATTGGTACAATCCCCGGTTGCCGATTTGAAATCCATCATCTACTGCCCTTTTACTCTGCAACCTGGAACTTCCTTCCAATGAACTCATCAGTCTCCACGTGCACCGCAGCGAAGTGCACCAACACGCCACCCGCCACCGCCATCCCTCCAGTGCCGTGGGGCGGTGTCGTTGGAAGATTCGCTGCATGGTGTAGAAGTCGCGGACGTCCTTGTTGGTCTCTGCCTTTGACATCCACAGGATCCAAAGGTTTTTCAGGTTGAAAAGGGGGGAGTCTACCTAAAGGGACCGAGGCCGTTCTTTGATACATGTCAAACAAGGCAGCGGGAGCGGTTGATCTACCTTCAGAGCTTCTGAATGCAAAATGGCCTCTTTCATACAGACCATGGCCCCAGACTATAGGAGAACCAATAAGCAATCTGCCAAAAAGCGTTGACACCTTCGATTGGCCCCCAAATCCAGCATGCACCCGACTGACGGCATGCCAAATCCAGCATGCCTCAAATCCAAATCTGACACTCTCAAAAGGACAAGGCATCGCTCTCAACAGCCTACAGGCAACTGACCAAGTCCTACCCAAAACCATGAAATCACTTGAAATAGTTTGAAATCCATGGGGACTAAGGCATGACATTGTCCTTTCCCTGCAAAGAAGCTGTTTCACCTCCCAGAGTGGTTTCCAGATGCTGGTCCACACCATCCATGGTAGTGGAAGAACAGTCCCTTAAACCTCCAGACACTCGATGTAAACACGCCTTCAAAACTTCAAGTCATCACTCCAATGATTGCCGCGGTCGCCAGGTCAACTAGCCGAGGTTGCTAGGTTTGAGTTCCCCCGTTGCCAATCCTGGTTGCCAGCAAGCTGATTCTTCCGGTGGACCTCCCGTCTCTCGCGCTCCGAGCCACGTGCATCACTAAGTGCCGGATGCTCTCCGGCAGCTCTGGGGCCTTGTCCACCGCCACAATGCGCTCGCCTGGCGAAGGAGCGGGTTTGACGGGTGCGAAGGTCAGACTAAACTGACTATATATTATATATCCGAAGCACCTCCATGGGACTGGCATATGTCCATACATTGGAATGCTTGATTTCAGGGGTCAATGTAGGTAAATATGCCTGTCCCAAACAGGTCGTGTCAGAGTGTGTCAAGCTCAGATCTCAACATGTCCAGTATGCCGTGTCAAGAGTCTGAACTTCATGGAGATGTGGATCCTCTCAAGTATCTTGAACTGAGTGACCACCCAAAATATGGTCAATCCGAATCATGGTCCTGCAAAGCTCCAGGAAACCAGTGTTTGAAAGGTTCCAGCTTGTTTCAAGCAAATTGCAGTGATTTGATGGATGTTGGCACCAAGTCACCCAGTGGATCCAATTCTGCCGGCAACCGATGGTTGAACATACTAAATATATTTATTGCTATTAATATTACGATACATATATATATATATAATACACACTCTTTGTTTCCTTTTGCTGGCAACCAGGATTCTGCGCGTTCCACCCAAATACATCCAAAGAGGTCATCATGTAGACTCAGACTGTGATTCATAAACCCAACCCAATGAAGAGGTCCATCCATCAATCCATCAATCCAAGGGCGTTCTTGCTTACTCCAAGGGCGTCTTCCGCCCGCGGGACGACGCCGTTCCGCCCGGTCTACGCGCCCGGTCTACGCGCCTCGCGAGGCCAACGCGCCGATGAGGCGCTTCCCCACGGCGCCCGCGGCGCCGATGACCAGGACCGACATGGCGGTGCTGTGCCGGACCGACCGGTCTTTGTGGCGCCGGTGAGGAAGGACCGGTATGGTCGTTCGGGGGTGGGGGCCAAGTGACATGTTGGAGTCATGTGGACGTGTGTCCTTGGAATTTGGAAGATGGTGTGACCAAAATCAAAGTGTGCGTGAAACGGGTAGATAGAAGGCATATTAAGGCATGTTGTACTGCTCCAACTTCTGCTCTGCCAGCACAAAATCCACGTTGATTTTCAATCACATGCTTGAACATGAAACACCTTGTTATCTGTTCTGTTTCGCGCCAGCAGTTTTAGTTTGACAGTACATGCACCTGGTTCTTCAAAGTAACCTTGTGATCGCCTGGTTTGAAGTCACATCGGCATCTGTCAATCCATTGTCCTGTGCCGTATTGATTGTCCCATGCTATCACGTGCTGTGAGCCAACTGATGGGTGGATTCATCATGTGTATGTTGTGTTGTATTTTGAAAGCGCACTGCAGTGCACTGGTGGGTGAAAGCTCGACTGATTACTTGACATCTGCAAAAGTCCTAACCCGCTCTTTCAAACGTCTTCATCTGAAACAGAACCCAGGGTCTCAGATCCGATGGCACATTGTCCACACCCAAAGCATCACATATATGTCCCACTTACAATGGTATATAGATGGCACAAACCAAAAATGACGGTTGCATTTTTGCGCAACATAAATTAATCTTTGGGTTTGTGCCATCTACTCTTGAAACCACTGTAAACCAAACTTGGGAGTTTCACCGAAATCGGTCACGAATGACCCAGACGGACCGCAGCATGGCGCTGGCAGTCTGTCAAACCCATTGACCTACAGTATACGTGCCGCGGGAAGTTTCGTGCCCTACTTGCCAACGTTCCTTTCAAGATCGCCAAACACGACCCATGGGACTGCCGTAGATGCCGATCAGTTGGAGTGGTGCCAGGGGGGTCTATGGGGCGGCAGTCCTATGGCAGTCCCAGACGGGTCGTGTCTGAGATCATCTAAATGGTCCTGGACTCAGGGTGCATGGGATGGTGATTTCGGAGATCGCGGTGAAAAAAGGGAGTGATGACAGGCGACAGCCTTGAGCCTTCCCTGCGACCAGCTAAAAAAAATGGTTCGCTCTTGAGTCTAAAACCCTTAGTAAAACATAGTAAAACTAAAACTAGGAATTCAAACCATTAGAACCAATGGTGAGCCAGGAATCCTATCTCAGGAGACCACTCATCTCACCTCATCTCTCCTCTCTCTCCGCTCCATCCAAGACTCTCGTGGCGCTAGGACCTCATAGACCTGCTCCGCCTGCACGCCGCGGCACGGAGCAGCACGCCGCGGAGCTCGGCGGGTTTCACCCAGGGATCCTCGGTTGATCACTAGACCAGGACCTGACACCGTCCAAGGGGTGTCTATTTATAGCCCCAAATAGCAGCAGTCCGCGTATAGCCCCAAATAGCCGTGATTTGGGGTGTGAACCACCCCAACTGAAGACCCTGGTACAGTGGTTTTCAGCCTGGCAGGGTCCCGAAGCTCGGCGATATGGACCCCCCAAGGCCCGAGGACATCGACTCGGGTGGTGCCATTGACTCTGAAATCCGTGGATCCCCCCCTCCTCAAGGCTCCAAGGTCTCAATTCCCGTGATTTATGGTTTATATGTAGGGCTTTGTCAGAAATGGTCTTTGGGATTTGAGCCAATGAGCTCTGGGGGGGGCTGTATAAATGTTTGTGATGATCTTTGGTGCCAAAGGCTTTTTTTGAACAACCATTGGAGTTGATCCACTGGATAATGTCCACCTATGATTAGCCGATAAAGGCAGGGTCCCTTATTAAGTACTCTGGTTGGAATGGCATACTTATCCCATATATTTCTCCTATGCGTGGACAGCACTGCTAAGTTCTCACTTCATGCGAACGCAAAAAATGATAGACTCTCACTGACCACGATGCCATGCCTTGTTGTGCCGCAGCAGGGCCCCGTGCTCTGGATCCGCCGTCGGACGTGCCAGGAAAAGAGGCCACAGGAACCAAACCTCGCCACGTGAGGTGAACGCACGGCCCACAGCATGTGGTTTGCGCGACGAACGGCACGGCCCATGGGGTGACTTCCCAAAGCCAACAGGACCCGACCCTGAGAAGGCACGACCCAACCCTGGCGCCGCGCCGACATCAAGCGTCGAACATGGTCAAACACATCACCCTCTCTGGTTAAAGCCTGGGATACTTGGGAGACGTGGTGATGCAGTCAGTACTCTTGGGCAACTGGGATTGATGTGAAACGGATTGAAACGGATTGAATCATGTATTACACTCCCTGGAATCATCATGGGGGCAACGTGGATGGCCCCCGAGAGGATGCCCATTCTCCATGCACAAATAGTTGGGTCTTCACCAACAGAGGTTCAGTGACCGTAAATAGGACCCGTCACCTGGGGTACCTATATAGGATAGTCTACAGGGTTCTTCAACCTCTGCTGGCACTTCCATGATGCTTCCAGGGAGTGTAACAGGTAGATGAATGGGAGGCCCATCTGAGACGTGTGCAACTTTTGTATAAGGACAATTGGGGTTCTGAGGTTCAGCCCTCATTCTCATTCCAACAAAAGACCAAACATCCAGGTTGAAAGCGGACACCCTTAGTTTGGAACGAAGGTACCCCCTCAACTTCCTCAACTCACAAGAATCACTCGCACGAAAGCACCCTGGACTAGTCTTGCCCTTTGTCTAGTTCCAATCCACCCACCTGGATCAGTACGCATATACCTGGACAATCCTGGATCTTACCTGTAGGCACATTCTTCCTTCAGCACTACACCGGACGTAGCATGGTACGCCCCGAATCCAGCCCCGGCCGCTTCGCCTGGCTCGGCAGCTCCAGTTCTTCTGGCGGCGCGCCGGGGCCTGGCGAAAGCAGATCGGCTGGCGGATGATTTTACAATATCTGAGATCATGTGGATGCAATCGTACGCAGATCATGTGATGCTGCACACATATGTACAACTCATATGCACATGATGTGATGTGCATTGCTGTATACATACGCACAAAACATGATGTGATGCGCATATACATGCATGTAACTACAAGCAACCACTGATCTTGCGGGGCGTACCATATATATATATATACATATCTCCTCTATAGAGGTCTATTAACCTCGGGTTTAATATAGGAAACATACCCTCCATACCCTCGAGTACTCCACATAGGCATTCCCGTACAGAATCTCAACCAGGTCAGGCCCCCCAAGTCACTTCCTGGAATCTCCCTCGAGCCATTGAGGGCAACCTTCTTCCACCAAAATGTGCAAAGCCCCCCGCCGGCCCTCGCAAGTTTAGACCAACCACATCCAACCATCCAACCATCCTTCCATCATAGTACATTCATCTCTTGGAGTTCTTCTCTTAGGGTCCAAGGAAGTCAGTCGAACCTGCCCCCCGTCGAACCCCGCAGAACTCTCTCACAGCTCATGGCCTTCACCCTGACCATATCCATGCACCACCTGAACTCGCGCTGACATATCCGTGCGAGGAGGGAAGTCAGGAGCAACGTTAACTAAGGTCTTGTAACATTACAAATTGCCAGCTACAGTAGGAGCCCGCCTGAAAGGAGGCTCCAACTTGATCCACGTGACATCTTCAATACCGAAACACTCCTTTGTGGGGTGGCATATATACCTATTGACCCCTCAATCAAACCACCCCAATGTAAACTGATACATTATTATATACCCCTAATGTGGGCATATATACTTATATTTTCCTATGAGATATACCTATACATTGACCCTTATGAGGTGTGTTGGCATTGATTCGTGACTTCAGATCGCCCACCCGTCCTATAGAGGTGTGCTTGGATCTTTGCACCCAACCGCTCTACGGACGAGCGAGGTTTTTGCCACGGCCCTCTTCCCCCAACCGCTCGCCGCACCGGTGAAATCCGCCACCGGTGAAATCGCACTGAACCGTCCGTGGTTCCAAGAAGCTTTAAACAATCAGAACCACTACACCCTAGGGCTCCAACCACCTCCTGAGAAGGTGGTTGGGGTGGGTTTTGGGGGTTTAACCACCTTCTGAGGATATGGTTGGAGCCCTAGGGACATGTACATGCCAACATCACCCAACGGATGGTTTTGGGATGGAGAATGCATAGGGCGTTCCATTCAAAGCGCGCTTTGGGTGGTGCTGGTGGAGCCTCCCAACAGCTGTTCCTGTTGAGCTACAAGACAAGTCACATGTACTTTAAAGCACCTTTTAGGGGTGTGGATTCTCACAGCGCTATCGTGCTGTAGATGGTGCATTGACGGCAAGTCCTAAAGATGACACGTGGGACAGGGATTGGTTTATTTACCATTATCTACCTGCATTCACCCCTTTTCAATCACCCCTGGCCTGATCGGCAAATATGGCAGTCCCATGGAGTGTTCGGGAATGTGGCACCGGGCAACGTTCTGCTTTCTCCGGTTCTTTTTGTTCTCTGAGGCAAGCAAGCAGCCAATCAAAGTCACGGCTACTGAAGCTATAGCATGACGAAGATGATGAAGGGTCAGCCGAGCTACGCGGAAAAGGCCAGGCCAACCAAAATTGCATTGCACCTCCACAAGAGCATCTTAATAGTGGCTGTGGCAGCATAGCACCAGCACTGGTGTGAACATCAACCCCGCAAAAAAAGCTGCTGAAAAGAATCAATGTCCCTGGACACCGAACAGTCAAGAGTTTTGACAGGTGACTGGTGAGTTCAGTTTCGGTTTTTGGCGCCTCACCATCCCTATAGCATCCTGGCAGCCAACAAAAAGCAACCACAACCACCGTGGTTCGGCGGCGATGCCCGATGTCGGCCGGATGCCCCATGTCTCTGACACGGGCCACTCGGTGGAGCGGAAGCAGGTCTGGGTGAGGAGACGTTCGCCTGCAGACCACATGGAATCCCCCAAAATCCACTGGGTTGGTGAAGTCTGGTCTTCTGTATACCGGTGAAGCAGCGCAGGGTTCCATGTGAATTTGCGGAGGGGGTAGTAGCTCCCTAATCACTTAAGATGACGGTGCCATATCATCTCTCATCCTTCCAACACCCCGACCACTCCCATGGCCCCCAAAAAAGAAGGTGCACACGTCAAAAACTTCATCAACTCGCTACTAGTAACACATGCATCGCTACCAGTAACTAAGGGCATTACTACTAACAAGAAACCTGCGAACGTAGTAGCGACGCACATGTGACGAACTTCATCGCCCCTTGGAGCGAACGTCGGCCAGGTCGCGTCATGGCTTGAGGGCCTCTCGACCGGCGTCGCCGGTGCTGCCGGGCGAGTCCAAACGGGGTAGTTCCGGGCGGCACGGGACCACTACCCCCGGTTTCGCCAGGTTGAGATGAGGTCCCCGTGTAAGAAAAAGCTGTGCGTCGCATCTGCAACTGTCTCCGTCTGTGTTGTGTTTGGATCATTTTCAGTGATAGTGATGTTCTTTTCGCGTGCTTCCACTGGCAGTTTTCTCGGGCAAAACATGGACGTTGGTTGAAGTATACAACTTTAAATGGCTTGGAATCCCACGAGACGTGGCTGACCTTCCATGAGTGCCGCATGAATAGGCATCCTCAGGTTCCTAAGATTTAGGCAGGTTGGCACAAAAAAAAATAAAAACTTCCACTACTTCTAACTGCCATGTCGACTGTCTGAGTGAGACAAGCATCCCTAATTACGCTCCTTGCAACAGTCATAACTAGTGGACAACCCCGAGTTTCTAGAGGAAAATCGTCTTTGTCAGGGGCCATTGTCCACTTCCATGATTGTTGCGGGAAGTGTAACCTTCCTCCAAACCTTGCACTTCTTCCAAACCTTCCTCCACTTTGTCCCGTTGAAAACATCCAGTTTGACCGAACCGCCTCGACAATCCATAGCAAGGACCATAGGCAACAAAGGCTGGCCTGCAGGCAAATCTGAAGCCGGCCCCAAAACTGAAACTCCCTTGAGTTAAGTAAGAGCGTCTGGGACATATAAACACGCATCAACACATACCATCTGTCTGTCTATGATTGTAGGTTCTAATGCAGTCACGCTAGTATATCATACACATGGATCATGATCTTCCTGCATCCGAGAGCGTCTAATGCGCCTGCTTTTCGTGATCGTTTTCTCCAACACACCGAGCGCGTGCTTTTCGTGTTGATCATCGTGTTTTCTCCACCACCCGATCCCACACGTGCAGAATCGAAGGAGCCCTTTTTCTGAGGGCTCCAAGCATCTTGGGCCAGGGGTGGGCCAGGGGTGGGTGGATTTGGAAAGTCTAATCACCGAACCTGAGGATATGGTTGGAGCCCTAGGGTTATATAAACCCCCTAGGGTTGGGTGGATTTGGGGGGTCTGTGCCCACCGGTCACCGGGTCGGAGATGGGCCGTTCAGAGCCCTTCCGGGGAGATACTGACACTCAAGTAGTCTCTTGCTTCGGGTTGGTGCTCCCACCCAACGTGCTCCATCCGGCATCCAGGATCCAACACCGAAACGAAACGAAGGTCGAGAGGACCCCCACTTCACCTACCACCAGTTTGCATCTCCCAACACTGAATCCCTAGGGATCCAAGTACCTTCTCAGAAGTCACCTGGAGCCTCCAAGCCCACCCCAAACACCTTCTGAGAAGGTACGACTGGATCCCTGCAGAATAACAAAAAGATACAAAAAGGAACACATGCTTTCATAGGAGGCTCTAAGGTCCACAGGGGGGGCCTCTAAGGTCCACACGGTTGGCTCCAATGAATCTGACATGTGCAAGCTACAGGCATGCAACCTCATGACATGTACGCCAAGGGTGGCAGCCAATCCGCCAAGTGTAGTGGGACCACCCCATTGCCTGATGCAAATCCGCCTCGCCCATCCCTGTGACTGGTGATGGCTGATGACACTGTAGGAAACAAAAGGAAAGCACCTCAAAAACAGTTGAACTTGAATTTGCGTAAGAAACAAATTCCAGGAAGGGATTCAACCAGTTCGGGAAAATCAAGCATCGCCCAAAAACTGCACAAACCAATGGAAGCTCTCTTAAGGTGGCATAGCTCGTGTTCTCTGCCACCCAGGTACTAGCCGCAGCTGAGGCCCAGCAGAATCCAGGATACTGCCACCTTAGAAGGATGGGTGCAATGGGGGTGCAGCTAGCCTCCTGATCCTTCAATTTCTCCGAACAAATAGGGTTGTAACTTAAACCTCTTCCCGTTCTTGTCCCAAATGGTTGAAGGTCAGTGCTTGAGTGGAGAACTAGCCCTCAACATGCATCAGTTCAGCCCAAGTCAAGGAAGCTTTGGGAAATCAGTTTTTCCATGCAAAACCAAGTGAGTTCGATAAAGACATTTAACAACAATTGGACCTCGTGCCGCACCCGTTGCCCAACGGCGAAGCCGAAGCCGTTTTCCGATGGCGAAGGATCCGATGCGCTTAGCCCGGTAAGAACTCACCGGAATGAGTATACAGGTACTTACAGTACAAAAGAAGGAATAGCGAAGCCATTATACCAATGATAGCGAACCCTCAGCCCCCTTGGGCCATGTTTCTAGATGCCTCGAGATGTTTGGAGTATGACACTTTGGTGATTTAACCAAGGGTTCAGAGGTTCGATGGCACAAGGGCCCCCCAAGGTCGGTGGTTTAGTGGTGAACCCCCCATCTGTCTAGGACAGGGGTCTGACAGGGGTGCCAGTGCCATCTGAAACCACTGTAATCCATATAGACTGGGGATCCAAAATGGCATTTCCCTACCTGGACCCTCCGTTTGTCGGGGTGTCCTGGCTGGACTACCCCACACTACCTACCGGCATAGGCTTCCAGACAGGGCACCCCGAAAACGGAGGGTCCTGGTAGTCAACACCTCCCAGTTCTCTGGACCGAACTTCTTCCTCCACGCTGACCCAACCCCTGCCGACATGGTCCGTCAACCAACCATCCCCTTCCAAGGGATATCTGAACAGCCCCCATATGTCCGGATAAACTCATTTGAGCAAGAGTCTACTAAACAAAAACGGCGTGGCTCGTCCCATCCAGTGAGTGGATGTGAGCACCCCGACTTCCTCCATGGATATACCACCACGACATGTGACTGCTGGTATATATACAGTACGCAATCGGTCAAAGAATTGAGCAACCCAGCCCCAGCCCGCCATGAGAACCGTGGCAACACACGCAACGGCCCAAGGGGCTGTTGGTATTTGCTGGCGCCGTCGACGACGCGGAGCTGCTTGGAGAAGCGGTACTACTACCACCACCAGTGCCCGTGCCCGTGGCATTTCCCCACGCGCCTGAAGCAACACGTTCCCAAAAGGAAACCGGGTTCTAACCAGCCCCTGGAAATGGATGGAAATTACATGGTCAGGTGGGTCTACAATTCAACCACCCGAACTGGGTGGTGCTGGAAGTTCCAGTCACTATAATCCCTAATTACCTCCTCAAAAGATCTGACTGGAGCACCCACCAAAAAAACTCCTCAGCATATGGAGCCCTAGGAATTAGATACATAACATGGACTGACTCCAAGCGAATAAGCGAACACAAGCAGCTACATGTGTCACGGTCGCTGCGTGCGTCCGGATCTTCAAACCTTAATATCTTACTCCATCCCTAGGGATCCGGTCGTACCTTCTCAGGTTAGGTGATGTGTTCACTGTATTGTAGGTAACAGGAGTGTCCAGTCTTACTGAACCTGAGAAGGTACGAAAAACGGATCCCAAAAGGGCAAATTGGATCAAATCGGATCATCCACCTATTTCTGACCTGTTTGGCTCCAACGGCGGAGAAGAACTTCTTCGGCCGAGCTGTTTTTCAAAACCAAGCGTGACCATTTGGTAATAGTCCTAGATCTTGAAGGATGCAATACTATGAATACAGTAGCGTTTTTTGTCGAGCTATTCAATCTCAAGTGGGGAAGCTAGAAAATCCCGCCAAGCTTAAAGGTGATCCATTGAACCAATGGGTCGTCTCGGTCCATTTGCTGAAAGACTTACCCCCGTCCGCCCCTCACTTCCAGTCCTCCGCATCAAAGAGTCCGGACGGGAAGTGCGTTCCAGCGGCTTCGAAGTCCGAAATCGCTTGGAATCGGTGGAAGGAACTCGTGCGAACCACCGTTTTGGTGGTTGAACATGGCGAACTCGGGGCGGTTTAGGGAGTGTCAACGAAGAGATGATGCCGAAGATATATAAATATACACACCCGGGATAATTAGCATGGAACCTGAAAATGGACCTTTGGAAGACGATGTTCTTCTACCAACCAGTGATTTTCAGGTTCCATGTTAATCTTCCAGAGTGTATCAATATGATACTTCCACTGGCAACCGGAGTTCAGACTTCCGCACCTGCACAGGCGTCAGACACTTTGGGAGCTTCAGAGGTCTTGTCTTGCAAGCAGTTAGGGCATAGGATGGGATCTTCCTTGGTGCAAAGTGTGTGAGGTGAAGCACCCAAGGTCACAAACTCACAAACATCATCTAAATGAAAAGGTCCATCTTATCTTCTAAATCGCTTCAAACAGCAGCACACTCACGGCAAAACCCATATTAACGTTGAAAATGCTTAAAGTCTTAAGTGTTCACATCTTTTGCCAAACCTCTTACAGTAGTCCACCAACCTTGCTCAACTGAGTCTGTTACTCCCCAAAGCGTGGAGTTCATGGCATGACGTGGCACACTGGAAGAAGTCTGCGTGAAGCTACCATGCCTGGCCCAGTCTCAAAGACACTCTTCGTCTCGCCAGTGGAGGAGCAAAAGACGACCGGATTGGAGTAGTCATTGTCACATAAAGGGCCTCAAGCAGGTGACGGTCTCCATCGTGGATCCACTGCCACCCTCTGAGAAGGTATATACTATAATCATTGGAGACACTGCTACGGATCCACATATCCACTGGAGACACGTTGAAGTGAGGGTCGGAGACCAAACACCTGCTTTTTTCGGAGGGACGACTGGATGTCGCACGGGCATCTGGTGGGTGATGGGACCCCGATAGTGGGAAGCGGTGGGGTTTCATTGATCAACGAATCTGGTGGGCGATGGGGCAACTAGCTGTCTGTCTTGAAGGAAGAGAAGCGGGAAAACTACGAAAGCCTCCAAATCGCAACAGGAAAGTAGAGACGACGCGCTGGATCGTTTTTTTTCATGTTTTCGCACATCGTCTAGATATTCAGCCTTCTTCTTTCAGACCTGGTCATGTCATGTCAGCTTGCGGGTCAGTTGCACATCCAAAATCCAAAAGCATCTGCAAAGGTTGCTTCCAGAACTCTATATCAGCCCTATGCATCCACCTACCTTCTCAGAAGGGTCCTGCGGATTTGAGTCTTTTCACTGAAAAGTGGTGCATTTCCTTTAAGTATCCACTTCACCTTCTTTCTTTCGTCCTTGTACTACAGGTCTTCGCGGAAAGGGGTGTACCTACATGAGACTGGTACACTGGTGGCGGGTCAAACAAATCACCCAGGGTTCTTTTGGGAAAGGGCTACCCGAAACTGATACACGGCCTGGAACTTGGGAAGTGGTGTGAAAACCACTGCTTTGGTCATAGGAAACGGGTAAATGGCCCTTAAGGGGTTCATGTTTGAATCCATGTTCAACGTCAGCTCGTCCTGTGCACCGCGTGGCGTGGGCGACTCGAGGGCCGTTCGAGACCGTCCGTTGTGGGTGTCCGCTAAGGGGACTGCTTTGGACAGGATGGGACAGTTGCGCCAAGGGACCACCTCGTTGCCCAACATCGGGACAGGCAAAAACCCCATCCGAAGAGTAGTTATATGTAGTTATATTGGTCTTCAGCTAGTCTTCAGATGTGCCGAAATACTCTAGTCTAAATAGTTCAAACTTCAGAGCGAAACGAACACAGCTCCTTTGCCGAGCCATTTCATCTCAAGGATTGCAGTCGAAGGACAAGCGCACTTCATGCAACCTTCATCATCAAAGTTGATGGACTCACACACGCCGCCCTTGCCACAAGCTTGCCCGGGCCTCAAATGTTTTGATACGCCATGAAGCCGGTCTGTGTATGTCTGCTTTTCGTCGAAGCCGGGAGCCAAACCATGTTCCCAAAGGAGTTCATGGATTCTCTGATTCGGAACTGGAACCGGAACCGGAAACTTCGGATGAAGCATGGATTCACCCATACCCATAGAGGGAAAAGGAACAGAAATAACCCTAAGCAAATACCAGGTCTGTCAATGTCCGTCATGAGTTGTGCAGTCGTTTACAAATCGCAGGCATCCACAGCATCCCAACTGGTTCCTCACGAGACCTCCAGTATATGACTATATGAGTCAACCCATTGAATATAACGTGAAATAACAATCTTTCAAGGCAAGTGGCTGGCAATACGTTTGGCACATCGTCTTGAATGCCTGGCAGCTGCTTTAGCACATCTCCCAAAAGACCACAACGGAAGAATCGTTTTTGCAAAGGAAGGCCGTCCAAATGAGGGGAGCTTTGGAGTGAACTGATCACTAGTCGTCATCATCATCATCATCATCATCCATCCATCCATCCATCCATCCATTAATACTATTCTTGGTCTTATTCTTATTTTTATTCTTCAATTGGAGCGGAACTTCTGGAACACCATGACCTCTCTCGTCAAAGGACACAAAGGACATGTGTGCCGCAACACATCCGCTTTCACTATGGGCCTGGAGCATTGACCTGACGCCGTGATTCCTTGAATCTTGAAAGGTGGGTCAAAAAAAAGGTGATAGATGTGGAATTATATTATATAAAATAATATATGGATATGGACGCAACGACCAATCTTATGGTTAAAGTTGCTGAAAACACATTCCGGAAGCGAAGGGCTGACCCAATCGGCGAGGTGACCCAATCGGCGATTCGTCCAAGTTTGGACCCAAGCGAGCTAAGTGGTTTGCGGGCCAAAGCGCGTGGTGTGAGCGGCCCGGCCTACCACCTGGTACGAGTACATCGAGTACTGGGCGCTTGTAACTTGTAACCCCCACTACACCATCCATAGCCGGGGTTTTTGGGCGTAAATAGCTCATGTGGCTTTGAATTCTTGGATTAAGGAACCATTAAAAATAACACACATATTGCCAGCCAGGCAGGGGGTGGACGGGGATTCACTCACCCAGTTCAGGTATAGCTCATCCACATTCATCCTTTCAAATCCACCCTTTCACATAGTCCAAGATCACGCAGGTTGGGACAGCTACGCAAAACTCACGCAAATCTGCGCCAGTCGAGACGCGATCAGACGCGACTCGCGCCTGGCTGGGAGGAAACATCTCGGTTTGACCCTTGGCGAAGTCCGCGCACGCCAGGAGCTCCGATTTGGGATAGTAGAGCCTCGTGACGTCACAGATGCTGAGGCATGAGTTGAGGCGGCGGCAAATGAGCTGTCATGGTTGAAGAATATTGAATAATCTTGCATATTAAGAATATCCATCATAGATGAAGACTGAGCTCATCTTTCAAAGGATTGAACACATGATTTGATGGCCGTTGGCAAAACGTTGAGGCATTGGAACAAGAACAGGATTGACTACAAGTCAACTGACTGTGTGGTTCTGGGGTTTTAGTTTGTTCTCCCTGCCTGCCCGGCTGAGGCTAAGGGTGACAAGTATATTGGTTGGGGTAAGTGTCCGAACAATTGTGTGATGGATGCCAAGGCACATGTTTACCACGCACATTTCATCATACCGATCCTCACCCCATTTCAGCATCGCGCTGGAGGGGTTGTCATAGGTGCAATGAAGCCTGCGCCAGGGGTGTGTCATAGTGCCAACATGTCCCACACTGATGGAAAACACCAAGGACATGACCTTCAACAGTGCGACCAAGTCAGGAAGTGCTTTGCGATTCGACACCAATTTAGACAGGTTTAAAGCATGACATGGCGATTGGGTTCTCAGTCCAAACCATTCACATCCCATGTCACAAAGAACGCGCATCAGTTCCAACCGACCTTTTGTCAAACCACCATGCACCCCACTCACCACCGGGCTGCCCTTCGCGTACCGAAAGGCCTTTGGATATACCGGGATTCCTGATTCTTTAACGTGACGACTTAGATATCCGGGTACGTTGGGTCAGGCTACATCTCTCGAAAAAGGGGCGCAACATGGCGCATCACTATTGAACAAACAAACCTAGAACCTGAATGACCGCTATATTGGACCACCAACCACCGAAAATATGGTCCAACTTCCTATCAAAACAGGGGTCATGTCTGGGTTCCAGAATACAGTAATTTGTATTGTATGTATCTGGACCTTTAAGGGGTGATCCCCCCTAAGTAATGTAGGGAACACGCCAGCCAGGGCTCCAAAGAACCGAAGCAGTCAACCACCTGTCCTGTCCTGTCCTGTCAGCATCCCCAACAAAAAGAACGCATGGTTCTTTTGGAAAGTGCCCGGTTCAACTGAAAACTTCAACGAACAGCCTGGCAAAGTACCTGAAGTACCTAATGACGTGAAATAAGACTCCCGGCACATGGAAAGCACCTCAAGGTGTCTCCAGGGAGGAGCTTGTAGTTCACCTCCACGTTGGCCCCGGCATCACCTCACCGACCGCTCCATCCGCACCGACCCGAGCACGAGCGCGCCGGCCAGGCTCCAGGTGTCCGGGGGGGCTGGGGACGACCTGAGCGACCTTCTGAAGCATGTCAATACGCGCAACACCAACCCCACCAGAAAACACTGGTCGGCACCAAAGTCACAAACACACAAGAGCAACAGCACCGGTGGATGCACAAGTGCCTCCAGGACTTGAGGACCGGTGTTTCATGCCATCTATGATGTGACTGACAGGTTATTTAATGGGACACATCAAAAACATCAATCTGTCATTGTTTCTAGAGACACCCACAAATCCAAATCTCCCAACTTGCCGAACAAGTCGATTCTTTGGCAAAAAACAACCACCGAAACCAATCCACCCCAAACACCTAGCCAAATGGATGTGCCAAATTGGTCTACGTTCCTTCCAAACAACTTCTCACTGCCTCTAAAACAGGTAGACTTGTTGGCAGTCCAAACCTGTCACCAAATCCTTCAAACGGGCAGTAACGAACAGGTTGACTTCTCACTGCCTCCAAAGAACTCCAAATCCTTCGAACAGAACCAGAGCGACCCTCCAGTCGTCCTCACCGGATCCGCGTGTTGCTGCCGGGTTCACTGAAGGGGTCCAATCGAGCGATGTCCGGCATCTCTTGCCCCGCGCGGATCACCTGCGGACGACGAAGTCCACCGCTGACCGGTCGGGTGGAACACAGACCGAGTCAAACCGATGAACAGCATCCTCGTTCGAGTCCGACAGACTCGCCCTGGCCAATCATAGGACAACTGCTATTCCCATGCTATCCCCTATCCACTGAAATGGGTAGGGGTCTCATTCTTGTGGGAATGAACGTTGCTTCACGAACTAAGGCTCTCTGTCTTGCTCCACCCTCCCAAGGTGCGAGGCCCAAAAAGACCGCCTCACGAGGGGTAACAGAAAACGCCGTCCGGCCCGTTGGCAGCAACAGGAAGTGTACACCGGATGGGGGGTGCAACAGGGTACCACTGCAGTTGGCAGCTCAAGGGCACGACTTGAGATATCTGATCGCAACTGGCCCTGAGGCAACGACTTGAGCAGCTCCAAGAAGCTCCATCCATCTCCAAGGATGGACCATAGATATCGAGTGCAAAGCAAGGATGGGACCATAGTTTGACCAGCTCCATCCATCCATTTCAAGCTCCATCCATCCATCTCCATTTATCAAGTCGCATACTATGTACTTGTCATATGTTGTCACTTATCAAGGCGCCTGCAGCCGTATGCGACGTCCACTGGAGTGCATGTGGAAGTTCACCTCGGCAAGATGCACACGGCGCGATCGCACATCGCAGCTGCCAAGCCACAGTGAATGCCGTAGATACACCCGAGAAGATTGACAGGGAACCTTGCACATGAACTTTGGAAGACTATTTTCCTTTACAACCCAGTGGTTGTCAGGTTCAATGTTAATCTTCCAGGGCGTAATTCCAGCGAGATGGTTGGAGAATATGGAAAAAAAGGTACCATGACTAATTAGCGTGATCATCACTGTGCCAGCAACCGCGGAATCTCTGCCTGCCTGTACTCTCTTCCATACTTAATCAGTGGCCTCTCTTCACATCATCAACAAATTGCCATGTCACCTCATGAGAGCAAAAGCCACGTCACCTCATGAGGATCATGTCACCTGTTTGAGGCTGTCAGGGTCAGGAACCGAGCCAAGGCCGCTCTCCACACGTGGTTTGATCCCAGGCCGCTGAGGAACGCTGGGGAGATGCTGATTCGCTCCGGTGCCGAAGAACGAAACATCAAATCCCCACCCCTAGGGCTCCAACCCAGACACTCCATGGGACTGCCATATATGCCGATCAGTTGGGGTGGTGCCAGGGGTCAATGGGGCGGCATATATGACTGACATCGAGTGTCTGGGCAAGTACATCCTCAAAGGGTATGACTGGACCATCCTGGCACCCGGTCATCCCACCTTCACCTTCGTTTCGGTGCGATCCTGGAGCCCCGCCCTTTGCACCGCCAAAGGCACGCTGGTCACGGTGATGCCGCTACTGGGCCACATGCTTTCCGTACACTTCTGCGGGCAGTAGCCGATGCTCGTGAAGCCTGGATCCCGCTGCGATGGCGTCATGGGATGCGATGATCAGTGAGAAGCCGGGGGTCCGTGCAAAGCCCACTCCTCCCCCCAAAAAATGAATCTCTCCAGCAAACAGCATATATTATGCCTGAACTATCCTGACTTGCCATACAAGATCACCGATTGTCACCAGTGCGCCTGTGGCTCCGGCAGGTATGTCGAGGTGACCCTGCAGAATGCTCAAGCGGCCCATGCTGTTGGGACGCAGGGTCGGCGTGTACCAAATGTCGTATCCTTCAGCGAAAGGCAAAAAAGAGACAAAGAAAGCATCAGCGGCCATCTCAGTGTGGGCCCTCCATTCTGAAGCCCGATCCATACCGATCCACTCAACGGAACCAATTCTACACAACATCTACCCCTGTCAGCAAAGGTCCTGTTGGTGAAGATGCCTCCCAAAGTTATGTTTATGTGCAGTAAGAGCCGATGAGCAAAGGTTTCTTGACCATCACTTCTTCCTCATCCCTGCTGTCCTGTGCCAGAGTCAATGATGCCGGCCTGGCCCTGGCGGTGTTTATGCTAGCCAGCAAACTCTCACTTGAAGGTATGTGGACAGGGTGAAACTCAAAACGGTTCCAAAGGCCTCACCACATTCGAGTCAAAATTCTGCAACATGCACACCAAGTAAACTGCTCAATTGTGTTACTTGGTCGGTTATTTTCGTGATCTGCAATAAGCTCATCCACCTCTAGAAACAACCAAATCCTTGTTCAGAAAAGGACGGACACCCTGGGTATCACCATACTTGGAAACTCTTGGGATCATTGGCAGCTACCAGGCTATGACCCTGCACTGGTGTGCTCAACAAGCGTTCCCTGGACTCCGCCAAAAGCACCGTCCGCAGCTCGGTACAAAGCAATATCTGATCTCTCCATTCGTATGACAAATTTGTACCCCCCCACCCTTTCGTATCACAAATCAGGAAGCCGTGTTAAAACTGCTGGTCCGTGCACTTTTGATGAAAGCGTTGACTTTTCATGAAACGCTTACTTTTCCAAGCCATTTGGCTTCTCAACTCCGTTGCTTGTGGGCAGCGAGCACCAGCAAGGCGCTCTCCAGAGAATCGGTCTTGTGCATGTTGTGGAGATTGGTGGATGTTTGCAGGGTGTGCGCAGGCCAAGACTCCTCATGAAGCTCCGCACCTGCCCGCATTTTGCAGCACTCACTGGCTCATTCATTAGTTCAGCTGGAACCGTGTTGCCATGGCTGAAATTCCCAATTGTCCGGTGGTGAAAGCTTGGATGGATATGCCCGTTGCGGTGGCAAGGGCGGTAGAGGGAAAGCTGGCTCATGTTCACAAGGACTCATTGGACCGCCAGTGTGTTGCAGACAACGCCGATTTCTTAGAGCCTCTCATCCGAGAATTTGGCACCTTAGCAGAATAACCTATTTGATCAAGTGTTAGAACAAAGTACGAAGTGTGTTGATCCACCGAGCTAGAAGTGAATGAGGTCAACATGCGCATGGCAACCAAACCGTTTCCCAGGTACACGGCCCAGCATCGGCCAGATGCAGGATGTGGTGGGCCGGTTCTTCTACCTTTGCCGCCCCAAGGGGAAACCAATCCCGAAAAGCAACTTGACAGCACTATGTGAGCATGCAGGCATGAGTGACAATCTTCTTTATACATGCAGCTGACCACCTCCTGTGCTCATGAAGGAGGTTTAGAAAACAAGCATGCATGGAGATTGAGGTGATGCCATCAAGACCGAAGCTTGGATCTTGCGACGCCTTGTGTCAATCTTTGGTGGTATAGCCCGCAGGCCCCATATCCCCCGTGATAAGAACCTTTGCCGCCTGTTTGAAACAATTGGCATCGATACATCAGGAACGCCTCCAGCACAATGTTACCCAGATTGCTTACACATGGTTTTTCTTTCTTTGGATTCCCGCACTTGCCAATAAAAGGAAAAGGCCAAAAAACAGTGTCTTCACGTCCTACAACCTTTCTCGAGATTAGGTTCTGGGGACGAGGGCGAACCTCTCGCTGATGGTGATGAACCTTTGGCTGATGACCCTCCGGCTGTTGGTGATGGGGATGATGATGGAGAGTGTGTGGAGTCGGAGGCCGCCTTGACCGAAGATGAGTGTGTTGAAGACCAGGACAAATCCAGCTTGTCAGTGGATCAGCATACAACAGCACCATCCTACACATTTCAATACGCATGCAGTATTTTACAAGCTTCACACCTACAGACATGATATGGTTCCAGTGGAAATTTGTGAGTGCGCAGGATCTTCGCACCAAACCTGACCCCACAGTGCCAAAGACCGTGGTAGTCAAAGACGGGGTGGCTGTGGTTTCTCCAGAGAGCTACTCTCTTGCAGCCAGCTAGGTCTTAGATAGTTTCACTTTTCTTCTTAGGGTGAGCGCCTACACACCAAGTTTACACTTCTTGCTTACGCGCCGAGATTTGTCCCCGAGCCTTGCTACTCCAGCCACATCTCCAAGTGTGGTGACGCCACCGCCTCGCACCAGCCACTTGGAATGAAAATCTGAAAGCTGGTTGACTAACGTATGTACCAAACACAAGAAGCTAGTACATATATATGGCACACTTCATGTGCTACCATGCGCTCCCAACCTAATCTAACTCAGGAGTGGAACCACCTCCAAGTGCTCCAAAGCACCATGACCCTGTGAAGTGTGGATGGATCTGCACTGCATGCCGGACTGCTTCAAGGACCAAAGAAGAGATCTTACGGACAAAATGTCCCGAAAGGCTTCAAGGGCATGATTTGGTCAGTTCCCCTGTCATGTGCAACAGGTGCTTTGCTTTGGGGGATTCCATGAAAGACCTGTCCCAAAAGCTCTGCTGGAAATCTGAACGGGTGAAAGAGGCACCAAAACCTGTTCATGATGCGCCGCCTGTGCAACGGCCAGTGCATGATGCACCGCCTGCTGATGCGCTGCCCGCCCCAAAGAAGAGTCACGTCTTTCAGGCTGAGACCGTGACCCAGCAAATCGACAAGGCGAATGCAGAGCTCAGGCGCTTGAAGCTTTTGCAAATGATGCAATGGGAACGTCAGAAATTGGCCGACCTGCTTGCCAGGAAGAACGGCAGTAGCTTCTCACCAAGTCATGTGGGGTAGGGGAGGCATGTGGTTTTGAACATGTCTGCATGCCTTACGGTTTGTCTTTGCACTGGGGTTTGTCATTGCAAGCGGCCCAAGGTATGGACAACCTGGACACTTTGCCCATGGGCGATGCAGAAGCTGACCGCCTGGCTCAACTAGAGGCGTTTGATAGCCCGCAAGAGTACCAGACCACTGACATGAACGGCAACGTTGTCACGTGCGTCATGTATCCTCTGCCAGACTGGCCTATTTACGTAAGGGAAGGGGAAGTCTTCGCGAGTGCAAAGGTTGCTTTGAAAAGGGGCTACCCTCCTGTCATTTTTTTGCCATCAGCAAAGCCATCTCATGTGACCTGTTTGCATATGTATGCTTTTCATAAGTTTACTTCATGCTATAATGTATGCATGTTATTTCTTCTTCGGCTGGGGAATCGTTTTCTTGACCTGTAGGCGACCCGGGTCCATGCACCTCCTGTGCCGGCATCATCAGGGGGAGAAGGGGGAGAAGGCTTTCGCTCGGCACGCTCAGCATCAACGCTGGTTTTGGGACAGTCCCCAAAACACGATGCTAGTGCAGAATGTGGTGAAAACCCCAATCGAGCAGCATATGTAAAGTACTGGGACAAGTTCCGTGTTGCCCCATGTGAGCAAACACTGGCCGCTGTGGCAACCAGCAAGCAGATGCCTCCACATACAAGTGCGCACGCTGACAACGCCAAAGCGTCCCACACTGCTGCAGCCCCTCCAATCCCAGCCCCCCAAGTGGATGAGCCAGCTCCTACCCCTCCCAACCTCACCGCTCCTGAGGTCAAGATCGTCAATGGGCCAGGTCAGGAATCCGTTCCTGCTGAGAGTTCACAAGGCAAGCCTCCCTTTGTACCAAAGGCCATGACTGATGAACCTTGCATGTCGCCAGAGGAACAGAACAAGACCTTAGGAACAGCAGCTCCCAAGAGGAAAGGGCGCCCTCCCAAGTCCAACAGCAAAGCTGCTGCCAAGCCGAAGGCAACCAAACCTGCATCTAAGGCCAGAGCAACACCCAAAGCAAAGGCTAAGGCCAAGGCTAAAGCACAGCCCCGGTCAAAAGCAAAGGCTACCAAGAAGACTAAGGCACCGCCATCAGAAGAAGGAGAACCCGAGGTTGATCCAAGTGCAAGTGGTAGCGGCGACAGCAACAGCAACCGAAGTGCCAAGAAAGCCAAAACAACGGCTTCACCAAGCAAGGGATCGCGCACGATTGCCAAGCCAACAAGCAAGGCTTCCCCAAGCACCAAAGACAAGAAAGCACTCCTCTCAAGGAAGTCATGCGCCTACAAAAAGGCTCGCAAGCAAGCCCTTGACGCCGGCAAATCCCCGGAGGATGCGGCAGCAGCCGGCAAGAAGGTAACTTGACAATAAGTTACAACATGACAATAAAGCGCGCGTCATTTTTGTTATTGGAGTATTTGAACAGGTTTGCACACGTTTGTAGTTTTGATTTGTAGGTGTCGCTGCGCCTGATCTCAGGCATATGCAGAGTGCAAGTGATGAGCTGATTTGCGATCCATACATGGATGCGCTGTGAGTGTGGCAACAACTAGCAGTTGAGTGGGCCTGCCAAGATCTTGTAGCAACCAGTTATCAGTTCCCAACTGATCTTTTGGTTGATCCGAGTGATTTCCTGTGTGTGTGTGGCTGGCCTTTTTCTCGGGGTGTGGGACACGTGCAATGAGCTATGGCCAACAGTGCTGCTCTAATATCACGTGTGCATATCGCATATGGCATCTAGGGTTGGAGGGTTGAAAAGGAAGCCCTGCTGCCCATGCGACTTTTTGGTTTGAAGACACTGCACTATCCCATCTTTGACCCCATGCCGGACCCTCCGGCAGCATGCAACTTGTTCTAGCCCGCGTTCCTGCCTGCAGGTGCTTCATGCCAAGGCCAGCCAATAGTGGTTGGCGAGTCCGCGCCTGCCTGAATGGTGCGCCAATCCCATCTCGGGTTAGCGCTCGATAGATTGAGTTATTGGAGGACTATTTGCAATTAGTTTTGACCCTGTGCAAAATGCATGGAGCTTGTCCATGGTCAACCAACCCAATACACGACAAAAGCTTTTTGGCTCTGAGGGTTTGCACGGGTCTTCCTATTGTTCCAGGAGAGGATGAAGCGTTCATGGGTGACCATTTTGATTCAAGCCCAGGCTCCGAAGGTTGGGTTTGGACCAGATTTCACATGTCCATGACCAGTTTAGGTTAATTGTTGAAGCCACTCGCCCTGCAGGTCTTGGTGGCAATAGTTCAGGGCTCAACAAGATGCACGGACGAATCGTGAAACCCAAAACATTGAATACTCATGCAAGCATGCGTGCATGGAACCTGCAACAGAGGTGCTCCTTCTTTCGTGGCGCACATGCCTCGATTGGGGCAAGGGCTACAACCTGGTAGAAGT